TAATCTCAACTCAGATTATGTCAATGTGTAGCTCGAATCACACTTTTTTCGTTATGAAGTTAACAATTGTTTTTTTACATCCATATACAATTAGAGATTGAGATATAATGAAAACTGTCATAAATTTATAGCGAAAAAAGTGTGATTCGAGCTACATATTGACATAATTTGAGTTGAGATTATTGTGAAAATTGATGAAAGTACGCAAAGAAAAAAATGTTGATCAGAAAATGCCTATAAAAAAACACCTTTTGTCTTTATGAGTTCTATACTGACCGATGGCTCGGACATCGCTCGTTCTAATGGTGAAAACCGCAGCTCTCTATTTCTTTCCTATCACTAAAGTTATTCAAAAAATACTCAGGGCTCTTTTATTTTGAAATGGATATTAGTTTTAATACTATATTACTTTATAACATTCTTACTTTCTTCCTTCTGTTACTTTCACAGATTATTTCTAATTACATACAATAGTTAATAACCTTATATGCTATTACTTACTACCAGTAATAGTAATGTAGCCCTGAACGATAAAGAAACAAACAAGTGAAGGAAAATCCAAGAATCATTAACAGATTAATTTGAAATTTCTTGTGCATTTGTTGTTCAGTGGAAATAAAAAATAATCATTGACAAGTTTTCGATATGTACTATGTCCAAGGAATCGAAAATTGATGATCAAGAGAACTGTAGTACTTCTGATGAAATTGCAATATGTTTTCATTGATGATATTATGCTTTTTCGTAGCCAGTCTTTCGAACGATACAACCAAAAAGGGGGTACACTTTAGTATAGGCTCCCACTAAACATAAAATCCATGTTCCACTCCCCACATCCTCACCCTCACCGCAGCTTATGGCAAAATCTCAAAGGGTGAGGGTGTAGGGTGAAGTTTTGCCGTGAGGGTGAGGATGTGGAGAGTGGAACATGGATTTTATGTTTAGTGGGGGGAGGGCTATACTAAAGTGTACCCGAAATAAATTCTGCATCTGTTAAAGATCTTCCGCTTCACCAGCCATGCTTGAGTGATTTCCAGGAAATCATTTATTCTCTAAGAAGCCGGAAATAGTTGTGTGCATATTGCACTTTTGTTTGAATAACTCGTCTCACAAGTATTGCCGGTGGATAAGTTACATTCCACTCAGTAGAGAATTTAATTATGCACCTGGTAGTGATGCTTGGATTCACGGGGCGTACTTGAGTGATTTCCAGAAAACGGTCTTTTTCAAAGAAGCCGCGAAGAGTTGTGTTCAGACTGCAGTTTTCTGCGGATAACTCATCTCACTAGTACGGTCGGTGAATAAGTTATATGCCATTCGGTAGAGAATTGAATTCTGAATCTTCTCCACCAGATCCGATCTACCGGTAATGATTCGGTTTCGAGAAGGAAAAAGTTCTTTCCCAAACTACGATATACCATGGATACCCCATGATTATTGGAACCGAAAATTTTTCCTGATGGAAATGAATTCCCTGTATAAGTTGTATGTCAATCAATAGAGAATTGAATTCTGAATCTTCTCCACCAAATCCGACCTATCGGCGATGATTTTGTTTCGAGAAGGAAAAAAATTCTACCTCAAAGTACCGTATAGCATTGATATCCCAGGAACATTCCAACGCAAAATTTTTGTGAAACACGATCTGAAAGGAGTGTTGAACTGTTTAGGGGTAGAAATTTGGACCCCCCCCCCCCCCCCCCCCCC